CAACGGACAAATTGTGATCAGAAAAGCTCACTTGAGCCTTTGGCTCAGGTGAGCTAAAAATATACCAGCTAATGTTTTTTTGTGTGACAAAATATGTAAACATAAAGGGTCAAGGAATAATTTGAATATCAGTAACCATAGCTTTGAAATGTATTGGCGACATAGCGTTTTTTCATTTGTATGAATTATACGGGAATGACTGACACTTGGTAAACTGTAGGGTATATAAAATGTGTAGCAAAACGAGAACTGGGTCGGAGATTCGGGTTCGTGTTGAAGTCAGCATACCATTTTATAAAGAACTTGAATTATGTAAGTAATTTCTGCGACGATTACATTAGTAATTTCAGTAATTTTCAAAACAAAAACGTTTTCATTTTAGAATTTTCCGACCCGGTCCTGATTTTCCTAACCCGGCCATTTTAAACACAAGTTGTTGCAGATGCAAATGATAGAACAAACTATAGTTCAACAGGGATTGTATAATTTTTATTAATCAGAATTCGTATTCATATGATCTAATTAAGAAAAGTTTTGTCTGCCATCGTAACTTCTCGGCAAAACAAAACGTGTTTCTCCGAGCTCGCCGGATGCGTTTGACTGCTCCATCGCACGTGTGTAGACCAAGGCTAATGTTGGTCTTGCGGACACAGGTATGTGTACTGTTTGTTAGGAGACTGGGTGACCGTAATGCTACGGACTCACGAAATTTACACCAGTTCCATAATTAGACATTGCAGTTTTTTTTTTTATTAAAGTCATTATAAACACTGTTAAACATATTAAATCTAAAAGTCGAATATCTTTGGATATGGGGTAACCCATATCTATTCTTGTTTAAGTTAGCACTCAAAAGAACATTTGGACCAGAGTTTTGTTTACTTCTCCACGTGCCCAGAGCTAAAAATAGCGCCACGCGACGTATCATAACAACGGGAAGTAACTCTAAAACTAAGACGGCGATTGAGACGCGGGCCCTATGCACATTTTATCAAAAAGATAATAAAGTTCAAGCTTAAAAAACAGAGCATGGGAAATTGATTAAATACAGAGGAATATGAAATTTTTTTAGTGTATTTTTTTCTGGCACAGGAACTTGAATCGCAAGCATGACGATTATTGTGCTCGTAATACCGCGTAATACCGTACCGGTATTATAATCTTTTATAAACCGGTTATACATCTAATCATGTAGTGAACATGTTGAAGTTCCCCAAAATTATTTACATGTGTACAGGATAATTAACTCTCAATATATTGATCATCTGATTGACTCTCCATTGATTGTCACACTTCACAGCAAAGTCGCTGATAAGCCGTTGTTAACATAATAACAACGTGTTTGTTTAGCGCAGTCCGCTTTCCTTCGAGGCATGCGAGGTGCACGACAGTCAGAGTATAAACACAATTAACTACTCAAGTCATTAAAAAATTAGGTGTCAGGACTGAAATGCAATAAAATTTAACCATGGAGGCTGCCGATTTTAACCATGGCGCAGCTCGTTTAACCATGGCGCACATAAATTTAACCATGGCGGACCGCCATGGTAAATCCCCTTGTGGAGAACCCTGCGGTGTCTCAAAATGTCAAAATTAATTAAATTTCCCAGTTGTTATGGAGTACTACAAAATACGACAGATACAAATGATTTATACAAAAAAATATAAGAATGATTGATACATGTAGTATCTCAAATTTCTATGTTTTAAATTTCAAAAGCTTATATTAAATACTTTTTCTTATACAACATTTTTATGACCCCTTTAAGAGCTTCAGTTAATCATAACATAAAATTTACGACGTCAAGCTACCTATCAATTAAAAAATCGTTTTAAAAATGAGTTAATATAAAATTGTAATCATTACTATTTTCAACCTGTAATTTATTAATTTTGTTAAATTTAAATATAATTCATTTTACTACGATGCGTGAATTATTACACAATAGCAACACCAGTCGGCCCTCATAATTATTATTACATGTAAAACTCATATGAAAATATGTTTAATGGACATTAAGTGGAAGTATATCATTTAAAGGTGTAAATATTTTGTTTTCAACAAGCAGCTATTACATACGTTACGATGGTAACAAAGTATTCAAAAGTAAAAAAAAATATTCATTGAATTTTATATGTTTTATAGTTACCATGGCAACATGTCTTAAATTTCGAAAAATGGCATTTTTAAATATGCTTAGAGCACCATAATTAACATTTGTGGCAAAGCAAACAATTGGCAATGACTGTTTCCAAAAGTTGAAGGTCAGATGTCTCAAATGCATGATAAACATGTTTGGTAAATCAGCTATTACATACGTTACTATGGTAACAAAGTATTCAAAAGTAAAAAAAAATATTCATTGAATTTTATAAAGTCATACACGTAAAAATAAAAGGCAATTATAGGATGAAATGTTACCAAATAAAAGAAAAAAGAGCCTTGAAACATATACCAAGAAGAAAATATGATATTTCATTTTGGTTGGCAATGGTTGCCAAGGTTTTTATACCACAGAGAGCCTTCAAAGTAACACTCTGTATAATTAAATCTGATCCTATCTTTAAAAAAAGCACATTTCCTCATAACTAATGATCAATTTTATAAGATGTCGGTGTGCTCCAAGTTTTCCCACTTGAAAAAATTCAGATTAGATTCTTTAAATAGAGCGTTGCTATGGAAATAAGCAGAAAATATATGCTTAAAAATAGTGTTGGCAAATCGGACGATTTTTAGTAACCGGTTACTCGCTTCATCTTCCGATCAAGTACCCGGTTACTCGGATGATTTTTGGTAAAAGTATCAATAACTATTATTTATCTTATTTTATACTTATCGGTAGTAGTAATGCAGAAATATAATGTATAGAGACATTATATTTCCAATACACACATACGATATCGTCAAAGATTTACGATTTTAAAATAATGAAAATTAATAGGGAATTCCCACACAAAGACAAATAAATACGTCATCGTCAATCACCAGTTTACACTTTCTTTTTCACCCCCCGAAATATGAAGCAATCAAGGAGAATAATTATTTACATACTCCATAATTAATAGTTAATATGTGGTGTGTCCAGTAAATCGCTGGTTTCAGAATAATTTAAGCTCAGGTGATTTAACAGATTTTGAATCAGCTGTTCTTTTGTTACAACTCCAAGCTTATTGTGTCTGCGGCGGCATCTCGTTAAATTATCAAATGCGGTAATTATAACTCAGGCCTTCAAAATATGTATACCCCAAGCAATCAAAGCTATCAATTATATAAAGTGTGAAAACTAATCAAAACAATTTGATTCACTACAACCATGAACTATATCAAGTCTAACGGAACCTAAAATTAGGGAATTTGGAAGTTCGTATACATTTATAAATTATAAAACATTCATATTACTATGTAGAATTTATTTTATCCGAGTAACCGAATAGCAGTTTTACTAACCGATACTCGCAACGTTCGACGGTTAACCGGTTAACCGGGTACTCGTTGCCAACACTACTTAAAAACCTGAAAAATATTTTCTTTCCTTGGATACGTACCCTTAAATGTAGATTCCCAAAACTTTTATGACTGATATTTATTAACAGCTAACTTGACTTTTAATTTTGACTATCATCCGATCTCTAAGTGGATGCAAGAAGTTGGCAAACAGGGTTTAATATTGATATAAAGTTCACAAAATCGAACATTTTCCCTTCTTGGTAACCATAGCAACAGTGCTGTTTTATTCATCAAATTTTATCAATATATGATATTCAACTTCAGTTCTAACACATAAGTACTATTAAAGCTGAGTCCTTTAATTTGTTTCTTGATTAAATGGCAATTTAATTCTTAATGCAGCGAAAAATAATTCACTTTTAAGCACTGGTACTTTGTTTCCATGGTAACACTGCAAAGTAGCAATTATACCCACTTTTTCTTATGGTTTTGGTGTTGCAAGGTCCTAAGGATGCATATTTACCAGTCTTGAATTTTCATGTTTTTCCTCAGGACAGTAGGATTAACCCAATCTTAGTTACTGGTTTTGCATGGTTACGCTGTGTTACCATGGCAATCATAAAAGTTATTTATAGAATAATATTGCTTATACTTATATACTTAAGGTCAAACATTTTCATTGTTTTTCTTAAGTCGTTGATTGAGTTTGAGCATGTAACACCTACCATTAGTGAATACGGAGTGTTTTTCAGCATATTTCAGCATTTTAAATGTATTCCAAAAGTACCCTTGGTTACCACTTACTTAGAGATATAATCTAAACAGTTTCTTTACAGTATAAGTGACATCAAGGTGTCATGTTTTTGAGAGAATGGTTTGTTTGCTTTTTCTAGTTTTTATTAAGCCACAGTCAAGATTTAAAGTGGCTGAAAATCTCGATTTTTCAAACTTTTCCGGCTGTTGCCATAGCAACCGGGACACATAGCAACGAAATTTTGTTTGGTATTTGTTTCTGGTGTCAAGTACTAAGCATGGGTGAAGTTTCATCAAAATCGGTGACCATGCGTGGCAACGAAGTTTAAGTGGTTACAGAGAATGGCTATTGATTAAAAGACATTGAAGAAAACATAAACATAAAGCAGTAATGTTTATTTTGAGTTGGAAAGTATATACAAGTAATGTTTTCATTTACTTTATCTCAGTCTATTAATATTCGATATAAAGTCAATCTTTTTTCAAAGCACTGGTCATTTACCTGATTTTTTTTAAGAACTACCTGTATTCATAAACTCCCATGGAATTCTTCAATGAGCAAATGTTTGGAACTTCCCTTATCGATAAAATTTTATTTTATTTTAAAACAATGTGTGACTGATGATTGTTTGTGTGCTTGTTTATTTAAATTTTAATGTCCAAATGTCTTGAAATGTGCGCAATGCTACCTCTTTTGGGGTCTGAATCTCCCCCTTTTTCATTGCAGTAGGTTAACATGTAATACATGTATGCAGCATTTCTAGTGCATATATTAAGAAAAGATAAGGAAATGTTCTACCTTCACACAGACAGATTCGGCGGCCGTCATGGCATGCATTACAGCTGTCATAAGATTGTGGGCATTCTGTACCAGTATTCTGTCAGCCTAAAGTCAAATTAAAACAAAAATGGGGTTATATTTATCATATTGCATACAAAATATTATTTAAACTGAATACAAGTTCATATTTCTCATGTAACACAATTTTAATTCATTCATATACATGTATATTGTGAAATTCTTTTCCATTTGAAAGACTTTGATTGTTAAAGATAATGTGCTTTATATTGAAATAAATTATTACAGTGCAAAAAGAATTCACAGAAAAAATAAAAACACTCAGGAATAGAGCATAATGCCAAAACCTCATGATGCTAGAAAGTCAGTCTCATGAATGCTACATGACTTATACAATGAAGTAAAGCCACCATATTCCAAAATCTTGTTTTCTGGAAACTTAGCTTAATGATATCATTATAGGTTTAAACAATATGAAAGTAAAATAGCATCTTCTACACTGGCAATTGGCACAAACATTCAAAAAATGAAATAATTTTTTCAAGTATAAAGTGAGCCAAGAATGTGATTGTGCAGCTTCACTTTATATTAATTATAGAGATCTAGATAATGACAGTGGAAATATGTGCCACACACAAACACACAGTTCTACCTCATCTGGACTCAGCTGAAAATACAGTGGTCAGTCACAAATACAAAACAATAAAGTATACACATACTGATAAGAGTTGTTTTTTTTATAAAAATTTCAAACATGGATACTAAATTACTACCTGTATTTGAAAATGTGGTAGTAATTCACAGTAAAACTTCTACATGTATATTTTAGGCCTTACTATTATATACTTTAATAAGTTCTAAAAATAGAGATTACTGAGATTACTTTTCATACCACTCAGAATACATCAGATGTATAAAGAGATATCTGAGTACACATTTCCAGAAATGTTAAATCTAATAGATATACTATAAAACCTACTCTGTTGTCATCCTGTGAGCTCATCTGGACATTGGCTAAAATTGTCAGCTGTTTACTTAGAGATGGGATCTGATCTGCATAGTACTGTAAATCCTTGCCACACCTGCAATCAAAATTCAGTCAAACTTATATTTCTTCAACTAAATGGGATAAAACATAAACTTCAAGATATCAGGGGCATGCTAGATACTGAGGTTGAATTACACAAGAAAATGGGACTTCGACTAACTTTGAGATATCCATAGTATTCAGTCTTCATTCAGCCAATGAATGAACATGATAGAATTGAAGAAAGGATGGTGCAGAATCTTATATAATGCAAAAAGTAAACACCATAAAGAAATGCATAAGAGAGTTGTTATGTTTTTACTGGATTTTCATTACCTCTGATCAACACAGTGACTAGCGAGCACATCTGTAAATTGTTTCATTTTCTTGCCATTTTCAGCGACTGCCAGAGCAACCTTAACAACATCCTGATGATTCTACAATAAATAATACATGTACAATATAAAGCCTTGATTTACAGTGGAAAAGCTATGAACTGCATAAAAAATTGGGGGTTAAAAATTTTTAAGCTGCAGTAAAAAATTCCTTGCTTTTATATGATGAAACTGAAATTAACCAACAGTTTGTGAGCATGATTTCACATGTAAAATGGGCTATTGGATATACTATGGATTTCATGTACAGTTGACATGTATAAATAGCTACACTGTACTACATGTATATACACACTGCAGCCATACTAAAATTCAGATACTGTAATTCAAGGATAAATCAGGGGAAAAAAGTTATCCAGCCCACAAACCTATACTTTTTAAGCATACAAGTAGAAAACTTACACCGACTGGTCCATCCCCCTTACAGTAATCTGCCATCTGCTGCATCTGTAGTGACATCTCCTTGGCGACTTGAACAATCGGGTTGTTTTCATCTTCCCACTTATCAGCCTCTTTTTGGAGATATTTAGCTGCATTCTAAGAGAATTGTTTGAAAAAGTTATTAATTTAGATTGAAAAACAAGAGGCCCATGGGCCACATCACTCACCTGAGTAACATGGGTGATGCAGTTCTTTACCAGATTCCCCCTCTTGCTATACCTATCATGCACCACTACCCCCTTCCCTTTTATGATTTTAAAACTTTAGAATCTACACTACCCCAGGATGCTTCCATATAAGTTTCAGCTTTCCTGGCCAAGTGGTTCTTGAGAAGATTATTTTTAAAGATTTGTTCTATATATTTCTATGTAAAACTTGGATTCCCCATTGTGGCCCCGCCCTACCCCCAGGGGTCATGATTTTAATAATTTAATATCTACACTACCCAAGGATGCTTACACATAAGTTTCAGCTTTCCTGGCCCAGTGGTTCTTGAGAAGAAGATTTTTAAAGATTTGTTCTATATATTTCTATGTAAAGCTTGGATTCTCTATTGTGGCCCTGCCCTACCCCCAGGGGTCATGCTTTTAACAATTTAATATCTACACTACCCAAGGATGCTTCCATATAAGTTTCAGCTTTCCTGGCCCAGTGGTTCTTGAGAAGAAGATTTTTAAAGATTTGTTCTATATATTATTTCTATGTAAAATTTGGATTCCCTATTGTGGCCCCACCCTACCCCCGGGGGTCATGATTTGAACAAATTAATATCTACACTACCCAAGGATGCTTCCACGTAAGTTTCAGCTTTCCTGGCCCAGTGGTTCTTGAGAAGATTTTTAAAGATTTGTTCTATATATTTCTATGTAAAACTTGGATTCCCTATTGTGGCCCCGCCCTACCCCCGGGGGTCATGATTTTAACAATTTAATATCTACACTACCCAAGGATGCTTCCACATAAATTTCAGCTTTCTTGGCCCAGTGGTTCTTGAGAAGAAGATTTTTTTAGTGACCCCACCCTATTTTTGTCTTTTCTTGATTATCTCCCCTTGTAAGGGGACTTGGCCCTTCATTTTAACAATTTGAACTCCCCTTTACCCAAGGATGCTTTGTACCAAGTTTGCTTAAAATTGGCCCATTGGTTCTTGAGAAGAAGTCGAAAATGTGAAAAGTTTACAGACGGACGGACAGACGACAGACAAAATGTGATCAGAAAAGCTCACTTGAGCCTTCGGCTCAGGTGAGCTAAAAACATATAAACAAATCCTTTTTACAGAAAAAAAAACACTGATTATTTCATAAATGTAGACATGTACCAGAATTGATGCTGAAGACTTGTAAGGGGACTTTGAGTTGCCTTTCTTTCGGTCTCTGTTAAAAGTTCCAACATTAGCTTCCAAGTCTCTTTCCCTGTAAAATTAATCAGACCATTAAATACTAAACACAATTATGCAGCATGTATACCTAATTTTCATCCAACTGGTATCAGATTTTGCTCATGGCATACCTTGTCACTTGCAGAAGTTCCTCATGCACTGACTGAAGTTTAGGGGGCTGGGTTTGAGATCTGGACTTGGGGTTTTCTAGAGATCCCGAGGGGCGATAATTTCCTGCTAAGCTCTCCGTCTCCTTGCCTTCTGTCACTGCTTCAGACACATCCATAACACCCAACAGGTTGTGAAGTTCTACATTATTTAAAGTGGAATAAAAAGAAATTACTAACGAAAAATGCACCTTGGATTCAGGGACCCATTTTACAAAAGATCTGACAACTTAGACTAAAAACATTAAGTTGATTGTAAAATCTTACAAAATTAATGATTCTGGTAAAATTTGTTTGCATAAAATTTTTTTAAAAAGATTAAAACTATTCTCAAAGTAATGCATAAAATGAAAGTTATTTAAAAAATACAAAATGTAATATTTTGATCTTAATTGTACGTTCTTTTGTAAAATGGGGCTCAGAGTTTTTACAATCAAAATCTTCATTCTTGTTAGTTCTTAATCACCTGCAAAAAGACGAACATATACAAGGAGCAATCAGAAATTTAATGAAATGCAAGATAAAGCTGGTTCACAGCAGAAAACCTTACTTATCAGCATTAACTTACCAGACACCAATGTGGGTTTGATGTCTGTCATTTGTCTAAGGTGGACCATTAACCCTTTTATCTGTGAGGTCCATAAAAGTTTCTGTTTATCCACTTCATTCATTGATTCTGTTATGGTGCAATTTTCATCTGAGAAAATAAACCACATCATTACATGTGAATTGTGCTATATACATAATCACAACTTCATACTTTTCACTCCTACAACACATGAATAAAATATTGGTATTTATAAGCCATGCAAAAATAATGTCTTTCCCTGTAATAAAGTCAGACATTTTCCCTGACCCAATAAGCTACATATTTGACCTTGACCTGTTAAGGCCTTGATGACCCGAATCAGTCCGGGTGAGGATTCGGTGACCTGATCCAGGGACCTCCGGACAGCTGCTCGTTTCTCCAGATTGGTGGACAACTGGATACTATTCTGTACTCTCTGTCTCAACTTCACCAACTTCTCACTGAATCGGCTGATCTCTAACTGAAGTTCAGAAATGTAGGCCATTTTCTGCTTTCCTAATTAAATGTAATTAGAACATTTTAATTGGATTTCATCTTCATGTTGAATAAATTATATTTCTCTTTCCTATGGAATAACTTTCATTGTTTTGTTTTTTTTTTCTCGGTTAGTGTATCTCCGACAGATTAATCACACTGCAAGTAAGTTTGCTTAAAGTACATGTACTGCAAGGATATGGACAGCTTTATTTTCTTTAGAGAAAGATTTAAATCTTCTGTACATGTAAATTGATTTCTTTTTATTTAATCCTCTTAGTAAATCTCTGAAAGCTTAATTACTCTGCAAGAGGATTTGTTTACAGTTCATGTACTGTTAGGATAAGCATCATTTTTATGCTTATTGTAGAGAGGGATTACTGTAGTAAACAATGTGCAATTTCCTTTCTTCTTTATATTCTAGAAATCTATAAAAATTTATTTAAAAGACAAAATTGAGAAGTTTGTTTGCAATTTACTCTACTTAAGCCAAAATATATACCTTCAGTAGTGGTTTTGGCCTTGACACCAAGGTCTGTAAGTGCATGGATTGGCTTACAATAAAGGGAGACCTGAGCATGTATCAGGTCCATACAATGCACAGCCTGAAAATAATTACATTTATCATATACCTAATGCGTATCACTCAATTTTACTGTTGATTTTATGCTATCACATGATGTCGTGATCTGACTTTCCGGATCACCACACTGTGGTTTTCTGAATCCATATCACCACTCTCTGAAACTGATGACGTGGTACGCAAAAACATGACGTTATTTTTCTTGCGCGTTAAAAAGTCCCTTGTTATTAAACTTTGTTTTATGGATAAAAGTTATACAATTGATCTCTAAAGTTTTCTTTTGCTATATTTTGCTAGTATGAGGGCCTATATGATAAATAAATTTATCATTATAAAATTTATCGAAGGGTCGTATCACGTTGACAGGCGCGGATCATAAAGCTCGACGCTTTACGTCTCGTTATAGCTGATGATCCGCGCCTGTCAACAAGACGTATACGACCCTGGATGATTTGTTATAATAATATATATGTATCTAAAATTTTCGAAGATCACACAGGACTTTCATGCAATGACAATTTCAATAAAAACTGAATCAAAAAAAATTCACTTTGAGATATGGATAATAACAATAATCATTATTCAAATCATATTCCATCAATCCTAAGCATCCCTTCTGACTGAATATAACATACCTTAACAACCCAGCACATGCTAGCTATTCTGACTCGGAGGGGAACATAAGACTTGGACACAACAAAGGCTCGCTGTGAACTTGTAACTCTCTGAGTCTGCTCCGACTTCAAATTATCTAAGAGTTCACTCATGCGCTGACATAAATCCTGTGCCTCTTTTGCTCTGGTCTCATTCCTGATTGGTAAACAAATGTACAAATATAAATTTATGATAGAATAAACAAGAGACCCAGGGGCCACAGCGCTCACCTGAGCACACCGGCTAGGAAAAAGCACATATCAGATCAGAACTGAAAGTTTACTGAGGAAGGGGGGGGCTTGGATTTTATTCCCCAAGGGGGTCATGATTTGAACAAACTAGAATCTACTTTACCTGAGGATGATTCCATTTAAATAGAAAAATATCACTCATCATGGCTTCGAAGTACTTGAAAAGAAGATTTTAAAAGGTTTCCCTATACATGTATATCCCTATGTAAAACTTTGGTCAGCCATTTTGGCCCCATCCTAGGGTCCTGATTTGAACAAACTTGAATCTACACTACCTGAGGATGATTCCACATGAGTTTCATCTTTCCTGGCCCAGTGGTTCTTGAGAAAAAAGATTTTTAAAGATTTTTCCTATATATTCCTATGTAAAACTTTGGTTGGTCATTTTGGCTCCACCCTAGCCCCGGGGGTCATGATTTGAAAAAACTTGAATCTACACTACCTGAGGATGATTCCACATGATTTTCATCTTTCCTGGCCCAGTGGTTCTTGAGAAGAAGATTTTTAAAGATTTTTCCTATATATTCCTATGTAAAACGGCCATTTTGGCCCCACTATTATTTGAACAAACTTAATTTTCTACCTGAGGATGATTCCACATGAGTTTCATCTTTCCTGGCCCAGTGGTTCTTGAGAAAAAAGATTTTTAAAGATTTTTCCTATATATTCCTATGTAAAACTTTGGTTGGTCATTTTGGCTGAATATAGCCCCGGGGGTCATGATTTGAACAAACCCAGCTACACTACCTGAGGATGATTCCACATGATTTTCATCTTTCCTGGCCCAGTGGTTCTTGAGAAGAAGATTTTTAAAGATTTTTCCTATATATTCCTATGTAAAACTTTGGTCGGCCATTTTGGCCCAACCCTAGCCCTGGGGGTCATGATTTGAACAAACTACACTCTGAGGATGATTCCACATGAGTTTCATCTTTCCTGGCCCAGTGGTTCTTGAGAAGAAGATTTTTTAAAAATGCCATTAATTTTTCTCTAATTCATAATTATCTCCCCTTGTGGCCCTCTTTTGAACAAACTTGAATCCCCTTTACCCAAGGATACTTTGTAGCAAGTTTGGTTGAAATTGGCACAGTGGTTCTTGAGAAGAAGATGAAAATGTGAAAAGTTCACCACAACAACAGACAACGGACAAATTTTGATCAGAAAAGCTCACTTGAGTCTTCGGCTCAGGTGAGCTAAAAATCCCTCAATACATCTCCTCAAGCTAAATATACATGCATCACTATCAGCAATAAATTCAATGTATCATTTTATTATTTACCCAATACATGCTCCATGAAGTATCTCCCTCAACCTTTTATTTTCACATTCCACATGTTTTATGATGTCATCTTGCTCTACTGATGTCATATCCTGTGTAAACCACACCCTCCTTTCCTTTCCTAGCTCACTGATGCCCTCCGCTACACTGTCCAGATCAGAGAGTAGACAAAACATCATCACAGCCCACTCCCTACCTAACTGGTCCAGCTGACTTAGTTCTTCTTCTGTTACTGGTGAAACAACAATATATTTCTTGACTTTTTATACAAGTTCATGTATATATAGATCATTGGTTTATACGTATTTAGAATTTCTGTACATTCTCAGAATTTTACCTTTACTAGTAATTAGAAAAATAATTCCTGTTTGTCTTCTTAAAATAATTATAGTATCTATCCACTGAACCTTTTAGGGAGGATTAGATGAATATAAAACAAAACTGGCTATAAACAAAAGAAAATTTTTCAAACAAAAAAAAAACATTTATGAAAAACATTACATGGAATTATATGTAAAAAACAAACAGAATTCAAGCTTAAAAGTTCATTCAGTAGACTCTCCAAATCAAAAGCAGAGCAAACACAGACCTTTAAAACATCAGAGGTGGGATCAGGTGAATAAGTCTTTATTTTTATTTTAATGTAACACACATTTCACATTGAAAATAAATGAATTTCACCTCAGCAGTACAGTCAGAACTTACATGACTTGGAGCTCATTTCTACAGTAGTGGTGATAGTGACAGTGATATTCTCTAACTCTTCGGTCAGTTCCTGACAGTGTGTCAGGGGGGCTTTATCAGTCACCTCCAACCCCTCCACCATCCTCACGATGTCATTGACACAGTGATAGTGGGTACAAAGGCACTCCAACTGTTTGAAATTAAATTAAGATGGAATTCAATTTTCATAATAGAAATTCTCTGAAACTTGTTCAAGGGATTACATGTGTTTCATGTGTGTAAATGTTGTTACCTCTTCTTTTGCCAGAATTTTGTTTTGCTGATCCAGCGCCTCTATCAATGCATCAGGAACCACCTTATATGTGTCCACTGTGGCATCCACACACACTCGCAGTTTCTCCACCTGTAAAATGGTAATACACAATTTTGTGATAACTCGCTTAATTTTTTTCAAAAGTGACTGGTTATGACACAAATCATGGAACACAGTATTTTAGTGATAGTGTTTAAGTCAGGAAATATCCATGAAGACCAAGCCACTCTGGAAATATTTTCACCAGACTCAAACTGACTTGATAATTAATACATGTATGTAGCACATCATTATAATGTTAGTTACTGTGACCCCAATTTTTTCTACAGGAAACACACCTTGGTCCTCCACTGCAGACAATGGTCAGACACCCCCCTGACTTCTTCTGTGTCCCCCGCAATAGCCAACTTTGTCTGATCAACAATCTCAGAGGCTAAACTGTCTGTCTCATGACACAGGGTCTTAATGCTTCTACAAGAGAACACATAGAAATCACTTTATAAAATATCCTTTCAGTTTAAGCTCACTATAGTATTTTTTTCACCATATGCTGACTGATGTTAAAATTTACTTCTGCTTGGTGCCAGTGCAGTAAGGGACAATGTTTTTGGCCATATCCACCACATGGTTTGTCCAGGCTAACAGCTCTCCACATAAAATGTTTGTTCTGTGTTTGTTGAGTTCCTGAATAGCTGCTATCAGACTTTCAGACACATTCTTGGCAAGGCAGTGTAGAGCTTTGAAAGGAAATTGAATTTACTAAATCAAAATTTATTTAAGTAAATGTATATCACAACCTGAGGCAATTAATGACATATGCAATCTTTTTTATTTTTAAAACTTTTTGAAGCACAACAAAAATTATTTTAATTAAATATACAGCCTTTTTGATTTTTTTTTTGAGTTATCGAACACAATAAAGAATCCAGCAATCCATAAGGGAATATAAATGTTTGTTGAAAACAATACATGTTTAATATATTTCTAATACATTGTACATATGTAGGTAAACTAAGGCAGATCTACTTGACTTACCCTCTTGTCCCTGAGAGGTATGCAGTATATCGCTGTTTCTATAAGCTGAGGTAGATTTTGTAGGACTAGACTGTTGGATGGAAGATGTGGATTTCTGGAACGGTCTCTCCTCTGTATGCTCCTGGAAGACATCGGTGTAGTCAGTGGAAGACATGTGGAAGGACGGTAACCCAAGACTCGTTGCAGATGACTTGTCATGTAGACTTGTTCCGGATGACTTATCATGAAGACTTGTTCTGGATGACTTATCCTGTCTAAGACTTGCAGATGATTGTTCTAGTAAACTTGTTTTTGAGGACTGGAGACTTGATTTAGAAGACTTTTTGTAAATATTTGAATGTGACATAGCTGAAAAAATAATGAAAATCTAAGTTAACATTTACTAAATTATAGGTTTATTTGCTGCAAATACTGTATATAGTATAAAGGGAAAATTTTGCCCCCGTTTTATTTACGCCCCTTTCGCCCAACCCTTATTTGGGCAAATTTAAAACAGGACAAATTTAAAGAATACGGTATAATATCTTGGGCGAAAACTGAGCGAAAAGAACTCTGTATACAGTAATATTTAAAAAATCACTACATAGATGAGTCTGTAGATGACTCTCTTAAACATTTCAGAAAACAATCTGGGAAAATACAATGGCTTGATATCCTTCTTTTTGTAAAGGAATAAAGAAGTTTAAAACTTATTTTTTCTTACAAAAATATCTTATTGATTAACCTGTTTGCCTTAGGTTTTTCCTCTGAGGACTGAGGATATCTGGATGGCTGTCCTCAGACAAACCGGCCATGACCTGTTTTACCCGGTCAAGCACCTGTTCAAGTCGCTTTTGAAATGTTTCTATAAAGGCTCTGTTCTGTCTCTCTGCAACAAGGTTAGTGTTAGCAGCCCTCAAACCAGTCACAGCTGTACAAAAGAATTTGAACATTTATATTTCTTAAAACATAGATCAATATCACACTACAGTTAAACCTTGTTATCTTGAACTTATCTTGAATCTGTACTTTTTACAAACTAAACATCAAAGGCCTGAAGGGCCATAATGGCTTACGTGCTTGACATGGATGCAAAGTGTAAAGGGAATGTAGTATACTGGAATATTACCAGTGTTTCCCCCCAGCAATTTCTTAATGCAAGGGGGGAGTTTCGCTGAACTGACGGCCTGCGGCGTGTCTTAGTTGAGTTAATTGTATCTAAATTCATATTTCAATGAAAAATACAAATTCACTTATAAATTCTTTAAAAAAAAATAAATGCTAAAAACATTTTGAACAAATTGTCAATTTTTACTTAAAATTATTTAACAGTAGAGGTTTTTTTAAATAAAGAGATCTAATCACAAAAATATTGTTCTATTAAAATTTTCTATACAGCCACTGTCTTTTTACAGTTTTATGTATTGTGTTATTTTTGCTTTCTACAAATACGCCCCTAATGACCCACCCTTAACTTTTTTATGTCTATACTTTTGCAGTCATCTTGAAACTTTTTGTTCTCATTATGTAGCACCAATGTAATGCTAACATGTAAACATTGTGACAACTTGGGATCTAATTTTTCCTGCTTCTGAATATATAGCTCACTGTGTATTAAAAGCACATGCGTTTGAACTACCAGTGCTTTCCCATAGCTCATAAAATAAATACGCTAAACATTAATAACGTCGTTTCATTTTCAGTGTATTGATGTAAAAAAAATGTCTTGAATATTATGTTTAAATAATGAATCATTTTTTATGTCTGAGATTCAATGCTAATTATAGAACGACCTGTGAATGTTGGAAAAACTCACATATGTATAAACAAACTGTGTATTGCTGTACCGTGTGTACTATCTGACAGCCATTAATTACATTTTTAAGGTTATTAATAATTTTTATCAACTACAAGCTTGATACTAAGAAGCATACCAGTTAATTGCAATAAACAAACTAAAAATCTGTCCATAGGACATGAATGCCCCGCCAAGGGTATATTAGTAAAGCAACATGAAAATTTGTACCTGTATAAAATTTGATCAGAAAATCTTGAATAGTGATGCAGTTGAATTGCTTACATTAGTATGTATCAGCATATGAAATTTGACACTAATTTCATTAAAGTGAGGTCAAGGTCAAAGGAAATGCCAAGGTCAAAAACTTTTGATTCAGTTGAAAAGCTCTCATCAGTAAGTATCAGCATTTGAAGTTGAAAAAATATTATAAATGGTTTCTAAAACTGACTGAAACACAAATGGATAAAAGTGAGGTCAAGGTCAAATGAAAGTTCAAGGTAAAAAATGACGATACATTTGAAATGCCAACCTCAATATCTATCAGCTTATGACGTTTGACACTAATTTAGGAAAAGTGAGGTCAATGTCAAAGGAAAAGTCAAGGTAAAAATGTTGATGCATTTGCATATCTCTCATTATTATGTCTCAACATATGAAGTTTGATAAAAATATATAGAAATGATGTCTTTCATTAAAACTGACTTAAACACACTTTGATTAAAGTGAGGTCAAGGTCAAATAAAAGGTCAAGGTCAAAATTGTTGATGCAGTTGAATTGCTTACATCAGTATGTATCAGCATATGAAGTTTGACACTGATTTAGGAAAAGTGAGGTCAAAGGAAAGGTCAAGGTCAAAAATGTTGATGCAGTTGCATATCTCTCATCAATATGTATCAACATATGAAGTTTGATAAAAATATCTAGAAATGATGCCTTTAATCAAAACTGACTTAAACACAATTTGATTAAAGTGAGGTCAAGGTCAAATAAAAAGTCAAAGTCAAAAGTTGTTGATGCAGTTGAATTGCTTACATCAGTATGTATCAGCATATGAAGTTTGACACTCATTTAGGAAAAGTGAAGTCAAGGTCAAACGAAAGGTTAATGTCAAAAGTGTTGATGCAGCTGCATAGCTCTCATCAATATCTATCAACATATGAAGTTTGATAAAAATATCTTGAATGGTATCTTTAAAACTAAATGAAACACTAATTAAAGATAAGTGAGGTCAAGGTCAAAGGAAAGGTCAAGGTCAAAAATGGTGATGCAGTTGAATAGCTCTCGTCAGTATGTATCAACATGTGCAGTTTGATAACACCATCTTGAATGGTATGATTAAAACTAAGCTAAACACTAATTTAAGAAAAGTGAGGTCAAGGTCAAAGGAAAGGTCAAGGTCAAAAAATGTTGCTGCAGTTGCATAACTCTCATCAATATCTATCAGCATATGAAGTTTGATGAAAATATCTTCGATAGTTTCTTTGAAACTTAGCTTTGAACAGAGCTAAACGCAAAGTGTGTTGGAAGGACGGAAGGACAGAAGGACGGAAGACGGACATGACAAACACTATATGCCCCGGCCATATTCATGGCGGGGCATAAAAATTGACAGCTATTGCATCACACCCCGTGCCGTGATTCACACTGACTTCAATCACAACATTGAGTTGGCGGGAGATCATGAATGCATGGCGTTAATTACCGCCATGCAAAAAACGGTTGGGGAAAACACTGCTATTACCCTTTTAACAGCTGTTTAAACAGTCTGTAAGGTAAAATACATTTATTCTGTTATTCCTACGAACTATAATAATCTGGCCCGAAAACTTACTCCCGACAGCTTTTACACCTACAAGGTGTCGCTGTTGACACGAAATAAAAAATTCTTCCGCATCCTCACAAGAGTTTATTCAATTTAGTTTTTTTTTAATTTGGTTTATCTTGTCTTCAGTTGCGAAAATTAAATAAAAATAACAAGGTATGTAATTAAGAACTTCCTGAGTAATTTTCATAACAAAACAACAAAAGTAGAATAGAATTGAAGAAGTGACGAGAACTATTTTATCTTGCTCATGTTTACTAAAAGACATAGTGAACTCTTTGCCGTAAAGATACCGAGAGCTATATGGCTTCGTAAGCCACAAAAAACTGCTTTTAGCATACTGTGCAATCATCAAATTTCATGTAGGTTAATTTTTCTTCTTTTAGAGGTATGGAAAGGCCAATGAATTCATGACCATCACAAAAATGAAAAATTTTACTTCTCAACACTTCTCTAACCATGAAATCAAATCCCCACAAATCAAGATTTTTTTCTTTAACCTTGAAAATTTGCCTCCAGTAAAATATGTAATTTAACAGTACTGTAAGTTATATTACCTTTCTGCAGTTGCTTGACAAACACCAACAATCCATTCCTGTACAGTGGGTCCTTATGTCCACTAATGATTCTTTCTGCCATCTGACACACCCTTCTGGCTCGACCAATCAGAGACTTCACTGCCAACCCCAGACCAAGGTCATCTTCCTCAGTCAGAAACCCACGGCAGAGGGAAATATCCTCCTTTATTCTAGACTCTGTAAGTAATGTCAGATCATTCAGAAGTTGAAAAATTTAAAAGTTAGATTTAATCAAATGAATGTAAAAGGAAGAACTTAAACATTTTTACATCTTGCAAAATACTGGAGCTTTTTAAAGATTTTTTTTCTAAATTTCATTCATTGGTTGCCTGTCATCAGTGAAATTGCAAATCAGGCATTTAGTTAAATATTCCTCTAAACAAACATGTTCAGATTTAAATACATTTTCCCCCAAATTATGTGTATATTAAAAAAAACTTGATAAAATGTACCTGAGACTTGCATAAATATACTTGGGTCAGTCATTTCATCCAGAACCTGCATCAGGGATGTCAGTTCAAATGTCCATTCTTTCATCAATAATTTGACATGTCGTACGGCCATCTTGTCCTGAGATTTCTTTGCCATGGCAACAACTGCTGGCACAATATCTGGGTCAAGTCTCTCTAGGTGACACACACATCGGCGAATGGTTCTAACACCTGATGAAACAAAAAAATTCCAATAATTTTTTTTTTCAATTCTGATAATTCATCAAAAGTACAATTATTCTCATTCTAAAAGCATACGCTGTGCATCTGTAGAGCTGGCAGCAGCAAATGTGGCTATCTGTCCCATTTTATCTGCATGTGTCTGGAATTCTGTTACCAATTCTTTCATATGCTGCTCAAATCCCTTTTCCTGGAAAAGAAATCTTTCAATGCATTCAGATGCACATGTACTTAATACATGTACATGTATTTATATCAATTGAAAATATAAAGATGGGGCAGTATTAAAACTTTCTGCTCCTAGAAGCATTTAAAAATTCAAAGATTCGTCTCTAAAATATATTCTAGAATTAAACTCCACGCCTCAGTACTGTAAATCACTTTTTATTCGCGAGAACTTTATTTTCACGTAATTACGCAAGGCATTGTGCTCGCAAAAATTTAATTCTGCGTATAATACATGTAGTATTCCTTAAGATTATACAGAGCAATAACCACAATTCGTGAAAATTTTGTCTCGCTAATCAAGATATAACTATCTCACGAAAATAAGGTGTCCGAAAATTTAGTGATCTACAGTAATCAAACAAGCTTGACCTGTGTAGAATACATGGCAGTTTTGACCAGTCTCTCCAGGGGTTCTGTGGTCTCTTTGAAGATGTCTACCACCAGGTTCAGTAGGGCCAGGTTCACATCCTTCTCCAGTTCACAGAATTCATCAATGTAGTTCTCACAGCATTCATCATAGTCCTCCCTGTAAACAGAGCACAGACTAAAACAGGAACACTGATTTTATTAAACTGGTTTTATGACTAATTTTATGCTTCATACGAAATAATTTGAAATGCCTGTAATTTCTTAAGTTTGAAAATAAGCATCTTCATCGATTCTGCAAAGCAGAAGCATAGCACAAGCCCTATGTCTCTGCATGTAAGTACATTTACAAGATTTACAAGTATCTCATTAATTATACGTCATTAACATTTTCCAGATTTACTACACATACATGTAGCTAACTGCATTGCAACTGATTATCTGTACAAAATTTAGATCTGAAATTTCCATCATACATCATACTTTATGGGACGTGTTATATTTATGGAAGAAATAGAACATTTTAGTATTTTAAGTTTAAATTAAAGATTAGTACAATTCTGATCCATCTGATCCTTCAAATTTCCTACCCAATTGCAGGCAGCTCAGGATTATTTTTCATTGCATTGTGAAGCTGAAGAACTCTGCTTTTCAACTGCAAGACCTTGAAATATCAATATTTCTATTAAGCATCTACAAATATACATACTGATTTAACTAATATAAAATTTATTCAAGCAAAGCATCTCCATGCAACTAGTACAAACTACACACTCTTTCTATTTAAAGCACTCATTCATACCCATTAATTTATTACATAGGCATCACATTTGATTTACAATTTCATATTCAAATCAATACATCACCGTTTTCATATCTACATTCAAGAAAAAAACTTACTGATTGCAATAAAAATTCTTTGCACCCCTGATTTATATTGTCCATGTGAATAACATGCAAATAATTTAAATAAAAATTATCTTATCCTTTAGTAAGCTTGAACATTTATCCCCTAACCCTTTGACAGGTCTTGACGATGATATTCCTGTAGTGGTCCAGACACAGGTGAGCCACCAGCATGCTGTGGCGGACCAGGTTCTCTGTCCAGGTCTCCAGATCATCATCCAGATCACCGCGCTTCTCCACAGACAGCGCCTCTAACACCTAGGGGCAAAAAGTAAAGCAAAAACTGAACAAGGGGACTGCAGAGTGGAGCATCCTCTCACTAAAAGCATTAATCTAGAAATCAAAGAAGCATTTAACATGGATCCCAATGCAAAATAGGTTACTTCCATTTTGCTCCAGGACAAACTAACACACACAGTTGTGTTACTATATTCCCTCCAACTCAAGTGCTAGGGGATTCATAGTACACTGTATATAGCTTAAAACTATCTTCAAATCTATTGTTAAGACACCTGTACTACTTTACAAGCTACTTTCAGATGTTCATCTAATACATTACAGGTATTCATAAACTGTGTTCTTGAAGATATTCCCTAGTGACAAAACACTCCATTAATAAAAATTAACAGGGGAGGTAACTCTACAAAACATTAGACAGACCTGGTCAATCTTGGTGACAAAGTAGCCTGGTTCCTCTACGTCCAGGAAATCCTCGTCAGTGAATTTGTTTTCTACAGCCTCCATAATGTCTGACACAGCTGACTGAGTCTGGTTAATCACAAAGGATTTACTCATCTGTAAAACAAAGTATTCATAGCATGTATTAGCAAAACAATGTAAAAAGTATTTGGAAGTTATACAGGATGACTCTGAGCCACACTGTTAACTTTCAAATTTCTATCTCTCAGACATAAGAAAATTTTTCAATGAATTCTTGATTCACTACAGCCAAAATTAAAATTTTCTGCAGCAGATTTTACATGAATTTTTCACCTGTGCTTGTTGATTTTTGGGGTACTTGATATAACTCTGAAGTGCCACACTCATTGAAGGAATAGATTTTTTCAGTAGATTGAGAGCTGTGATTATTCTCTCCCTTTGATGATTCTGACATAATTCCATCTGACGTTTCTGGGCCAGCGAGCACAGCAGTGTTGTTCCATCAGTGAAGCTCTGTAGATCAAGATTACAGAGGAAATTAGAAAAATTGGAGTAATTATAAAATATCTGCAGATATGATGAACAAGGGGTAGTTCATACCTTGAAATTAGACAGTAAATCAGGCATGCGACTAATTGTACTAAGTCTGGTGAGGCAATCAACGACCAAGCGACCAGCACTGACAATTTTTCTGACCTCTGCATCATCAGACACAAGCAAGACCTTCAACAGAAATACAATAAATACATGTAACTTATGAAGATCTTTGTAATAATGAAATCTTGGTTAAATAGTACACAACGATCTACATGTACAGGGGGTACAATTTTTTTGTATATGGGTGTATAGATTCTTGAATTTGAGGTCCCAGAGTTTTACAATACTTTGTACATACATTGCTCAAACTTCCCAAATTACCAACTGAACACAGGAACGTACATTCTTAAATTAAAATATTTTCATATTGTTACCTTCATTGTTCCTTGTAAAACATCTTTAGCTGCACTAATGACTTTTGTACGAATTTCTTTAGATGAATCATCCCCAAGCCTCTGGGAGGCTATGTATAAACCACTACTGGCTAAATCCAAAATCTCACAAGCACTCATCATCTGTCTCTGGTAATCCTAAAATTTATAGGTTAACTTATTAGTAAAAGATGCATGGTTATATCGTTTCAATGCTTAAGTGACAAATTTATTGTCCTTGATGATACATCACATATTCATACATGTTATAAATGAATAAAACAATAATCTGAATGTATATATCATACTGTAGAAGTACTTTTTTCCATGTGGTATTAATTTACGCTATTTACGCACTCACAAATTTTCTGTGGAAGTTTGTCCAAGAATACTTATAAATGTAAGGCATATAGTAATAGTCTGAGAAATCCGTGTAATTTTCAACCCGTGGATTAAACGGAAATTGAGATTCCAGGAATTATGACCCCGTGGAAAAATGTATGTCTACAGTAATTAATATATTACATTATGATTATGCATATTATTCACTTATAAGTTAAGATTATCTTTTACAAAAGCAAATCTTTACAAAATTTCTATTACACTCCCCCTTATCCATCATGCTTCACAGCTTAAGCTTCATACTTGCTTTTAACTTTGAATACCTGGTCAGGAGAGTTGTTTGCTCTCTCTTTTCCAATTTTAATGAGGTGTTCTGCAGCTTTCATAACGGCCTGAGCACAGGGACCCATGAGATCTGGCTTTCCCACACCATTCTCTGACTCGTCCAGTATAATTAACAAGGAAACCTGTTATCAATGTTAAAAATTTGTACACAGGATTTTGATAATCTGTGCAAAAAAATCAGTTGTGAATCAGTAATTAACAGTCCAGTCCAACACGAAAAATCGTAATATTACTAAAATTGTAATATAAGCAACACAGAGTTATTTTGATACAACCTCCTTGTTATGTTTCATCAGAGATTATACTGGTATCATGGATATGCATGTATTTTCTTTGTTTTGATTTTACCAAGTGCATGTGAGCCTCGTGAAAGTTGTACAAGTTATAGTACAAACGACTGATTTTTATGGTATTGTATTATAGACCATTGTGGCAAGATTGAGGATACACCACTGTCTGCATTTAGATTGTCACTGACCGAAAGACCCGTGATACTTATTGGGGCAATGCTTTAACACCATTCAGTATGCATTATAAAATATGAATCAGAAATAAACACATTCAGAAAATGATTAAATATAAATTCTGATGGGGTGTGTCGCAAGCTATCAACTTAATTTACTTATCAGAAAATATGAAAAAAAAATATCAAATTGTTCCATGTACCTGTGAAGCTATTGGCGCCAATACTCTCTCAATTGATTTGGTCTGTACTAAGTTAGATAGAAGTCCATTTGTGACCTCCATGGTTCCTTGACAAAGATTCTAAAATTCAGAAAATGCATAAAACTTTTTTTAAAAATATTGATTATACTTGCTAAGGATAAATGCGCCTCCAAACGCTCGAGAGCTTTAAAGGGAGATTACTCTTACTTCAGTTTTTGTTTCGAGACTAATACTTATCCAGTTTCTTGGAATATTTTTTTGTAGTAAAGGAACTTTTAATGATGCAAAATCACATTTGGTTCAACAAGCCAGAAAAGCTATGAATATTGTTCTTAGAAAATCTAGGAAATTGATATGCAACTGCAAGTTTTTGGCACTATTGTTGTACAGCTATTTTGTTGTATGGTCTAGAAGTTATGGAATGCCATATACGACAGCCAACTGCTTACTGCCAACTGCTGACTGCTTACTGCCAACTGTCAGCTGCTTACTGCCAACTGCCACACATATTTGAATAAATTTTATATTTGTATTGATAATTATATGAATTTTCACAAAAAAGGAAAAAAAGGCACGGATCCAGGACATTTTTTTTCCAAGGGGGTCACCCTGGTAAAATTGAATCGAATGAAATGACCAATATGTTTTATCTTATGTAATATTCAATATATGCGGTTGATAAAGTACATTGTTTATTTTTTTTTATTTGTTTTCCGATTTGAAATAGGTAATAAAATGACTATTTTCTGCTTAATCTTTAAAGAAGCCCCCCCCCTCCCCCGGAGACAACAAAACCTTTGAAGAGAGAATAATAATAATAAAAAAGATTTGTCGTTTTGCAGAGAAAAATGTTTTGAAAATAAATTTCCGTTTTCCATTATATTCTATAGTTAAAAATTTCCTCAAATTAAAGATGTATATCTCTGTGTGTTATAATGCAGGCACGTAGCAACGTTTTTGAAAGTGGGGGGCCAACCAGAGAAAATTTTTTTTTTACTTACCAGAAAAAGTTGACAAGCAAAAAAAAAAGGAAATAGCCCAAACTCGAAAATCCTATTTCGGGGGGGGGGGGGGGGGGGGGGGGGGGGGGGGGGGGGGGGGTAGGTGGCTAATTTTTTTTTAAGGCCAACTACCTTTCACTTACATTTTTTTTCACACAATACTACATATCCTTGATATCATTATGCTGTAATGTATCACATGCATAGATCGGGGGGGGGGGGGGGGGGCATTTAAAATTTGTACAGTAATACGTTAAATAAACTAAACGAACTACCGGTATAACTGACCTTGGACCCTCCACTTAGAAAACGCCGATCAAACATTTATATCTCTTTGTTTGTACAAATAAAATATGTTTTACGTGCATGGATCTAGAGAGAGGGGTCCGGAACACCCCTCTGAAATTTGTAAAGTTATTTAATGCACAAACTAAACCAACTAAAAGTTATTTAATGTATAAAATAAATCAACTAAAAGGGACCTTAGAACACCCCCCCCCCCTCCCCAACCGAAAATGTGGATTCGTGTTAAGTTGGTATGAAAAATGTCATACACATGAAGGTATGACGCATAAGAACCCCCTCTCCCCGGCCGAAATAAATTTTCACATTTAGGAAAGGACTTTACGTATTTTTTTCTTGTCAAGAAATTTCTGGGTTGGATTTTTTTTTTAACAGAGTGACCCTCTTGGAAAAAATGTCCTAAAGATCCGCGCCTTTTTTTTTTAAATTTACATATTAAATATCAATATAAAAATAAAATTTATTCAGATATGTGTGGCAGTTGGCAGCAAGCAGCTGACAGTTGGCAGTAAGCAGTCAGCAGTTGGCAGTAAGCAGTTGGCTGTCGTATATATATGGCATTCCATAAGAATTATGGGGTTTTGAAAACTGTAGCATTATTTAGAATCCTTTGTAAAAAAAAAAAAAAAAAAAAAGACTACTCCTCATTGTATTGTTTATGGAGAACTGGGTAGAATACCACTTAGTATATTAGTAAAGTCTAGAATGGCTAGTTTCTGTAAAAATGAGAATTTTTCCTTCACATTGTACTCAATTTTGTATCAATTTAGTTTGAAAGGTTTACTTGTTCAGTTGTTAAACATACCCCATGTGGGGGCTTTAGTGAAATAAAAAGTTTCAAAGTTTCCTTTTTCCCCAATAGGCAATATTTCATTAAAAAAAAACTCTAAATGGCATACATGTATGTGTAGTGTACGATTACTTGAAATCGGTTAATTCATTTGAAAATGATGGAATAGTTACACCGTTCAGGCACGTAGCATCGATTTTGAAAGTGGGGGGGGGGGGGGCAGCCACTGAAATTTTTTTTTTTACTTACCTGAAAAAGTTGACAAGCAAAAAAAAAAAAAAAAAGGAAAATGCCCAAAGTCGAAAATCCTATTTCGTGGGGGGTGGGGGGGGGGTGGGGGTGAGGCAAACTTTTTCACTATTTTCACTAACAATTCCTTCATATTACTTTACTTTAGTATAAAGTGGGGGGAGGGCCAACCAGCCTTTTAATGAACATTTTCAATAGTAAAAGTATTGTTGGTAAAAAAATGGGGGGGGGGGCAGCCCCCCCCCCCCTGGCCCCCCTTTTGCTACGTGCCTGCCGTTATTTGAAGTACGTAGATTATTATAGCATACAGTGTATGTGCAAAGATAAAATCGTTTGATCTAAACTCACGTTACGGTTAGTATGCTATACATGTATAAAATTTACGATATAAGCTTAAATATAAAGTAAGATGCTGATTAAAAAAAAAAGATAATTACATGTATACTTCAATTCTTTTGAAAACATCTTTACAAGGAGTAAGATTTTTTTTTTCAATTTGATTCATTTAACATTTTTAAAGTTTCACTTAAAACTGGTCTAGAGATACAATGGTTTTACTAAGAACCTACAAGACTAGGTTTGTAGTCATATATATAACTCCTTTTATTTCTATCTCATAGGATGAACGACAAGTTGTATTTTGAACATAGCTATCTTAACAACTTGACAACCTTTCTTAGATACAAATTTACTTCAATTAAACCTGTCAAACTTTTAAAAACTTCATTCTCACTAACTCAGACACGTAGCAACAGTATCAATTTAGTGATGTGGTAAATGTATTTGTAGAAAATTTGATACTGAAAGAACTCTGTGTTGAAAAAAGCTGGCTTTTACATCCCCTCCCCCATCTCCCACCCCCACGGAATAGTGATTTTTTTTTTTTTTTTTTTTTTTTTTGCTTGTCAACTCTTTTCAGGTAAGTAATTTTTTTTCTCTGGCTGCTCCCCCCTTTCAAAAACGATGCTACGTCACTGTAACTTTCTTTCTGACTTTACATATAAACTGAATATGCATTTCTGAAGGGGAAGTGTGTGTGTATGTGGGGGGGGGGGGGTTAATCGTTTGAAAGAGGGCAGGGGTCTTTGTTATACATAGGATTCGGAATCTGGGGGGAGGGGGTCTTAGCTTAAGTAAACGCTAAGAGGTCCATGGTTATTAACTCTATATTTGTTATGTATAGCATGGGGAAATGTACGATTTTCTATCTCAGCACATTTTTTTCCTTCTCTTTTATCCACTGTGGCAACGCACTTTGAAAAAATTACGCACTTTGAAAAAATTTTTCAAAGTGCGTTAAATTTTGGGACCAGGTTAACGCACTTTGAAAAAATAATTTTTTTTTCAAAGTGCGTTAATATCGACCATATTAACGCACTTTGAAAAAAAAATTCTGCATGGCTTAGTCAATATTCCTACAAATTTTAGGTATGATAAATTATCATTTGAACCGGATATGATACTTTTTGTCCCCCGCTTGAAAAGTGGGAGATATTAATTTGGGTCTATCTGTCAGTCCGTCCGTCTAGCTGTCCGTCCATCCGTCTTTCCGTAACGCTTTCGTTTCCACACGATATCTCGCCAACCCTTTGAACATTTGCAATGAAATTTAACATAACAGAATCCCTGTGGCCTTAGGAAGACCCCTTTTGAATTTCGGGTCAAAAGGTCAACATTCAATGTCGTAAAGAACTACGAACGATAGTATTGTTCTTCCGCCTATCTCTTAGTCAATTCTCAAAAGTTAACATATTGGAATGATTCTAAAAAAAATTATAGATATTTATATGAATTTTCATAAAACCTTACTTATTTAGGATACCAAAGAGAAATAACTCTATAATTTTGGCAAAACTTGTGTTTTAAATACATGGAGTTTAACAGAGAGATTATCAGATATGGTATCAAATTAACAACGAAAAGCAGACAGGTATTGTAGATTCCTTAATATAAGCGAGGAATTAATTTCTGCGTAATTTTGCGAGAAGTATCACTCGCGAAAAAAATATTACTCGCTTTTATTTTTCTGGTGCTTAAATCTATGTAAAATCTGTTCATTAACCGTTCATTCGCGAATTACAGTTCTAGCGATTTGACGTTTGAGAGCCAGTTCGCGATAAAAAAAAAAAACACTCGCGAAAAATAAGGAATTTACAGCTAGTAATTAATATTCTGATTTTCCTGAAAATGAACATAAATAGACTTTGAGATTTAAAGGAACAAAATTTCGATTTACTACAGACTTCCTTGTACAGTGCTTAAACTGTATTTAGAATGCTCTTTTTTTTCAAATATCATTGACACTTAAGGTAACGAGTTATAGAAATAGATATATCTGGGTGGGAATGATAAAGAGTTGAGCTGATAGACCTTAATTCAGCCAGTCTTTTCTTCGTTTTCCGTTTCTTGGTTTTCTTCAATCCATCAGTTTTTAGAATGAAACACATCAAAGTAAGGGCACCGCAAAGCGGAGCATTCCTTCCCTAAAAAGCATGTTCAGTAAATCATTTGACATCGATCCCGATACAAATTACGTCAATTCCACACAGAAAAAACTAACATACACATAAAGTAATAACACACATAATCGCATCACTATATCCCATCATACGTTGCGAAGGGATAATACTGTTGTCTATTTCTAAAATATAAGTCTAATTCCTTTTGTTTCATGAAATTTTTTTCAAAGTGCGTTAAATGTTTACATGGTGTAAAATTATGATGTACAGTTTTAACGC